TGATCTTGTTTGTTAGTCCCCCCCCCCCCCTCCTCCCTCCCCAAGAAGCCTAAATCAGAGGCGGGGGTATATCATGTTTATTTTATCATCACACAATTAAATTTAATAAACTATCTCCCTATGTTTAGTCACAAGCATAGTGAATAACCTAACTCGGGCATCCCAAACTGTAACGATGATGGGTAGGCGATACCTGCACATTCTAAAGAAATGACCTAAGTGCCAGAACTTCCACTCTGTAGTAGAGGAAAAAATAAGGTCTGCTAGCTGGGAAATATTCAAAAGACTAAAAATTCTCCTTGTATAATAAAAACCACTTCCAACTGCCTTGGGTACTCATTATCACCCTTTGGAAACCAGAAACAGTCTGACAAGAGGCAGCTGTACTCAAACCTGGAGACTCAAATTGTAATTATTGAGTTGTCACTGGCCAACCCAAATGTCCAGATTATGCAGAGCACAACAGCTACAATTCTACAAGTGACGTATCCATGTTTGAAGCAAAGACATGCTGGAATGTTAATTGGCTCCTGTCTAAATCAGCCCTGTATGTATGTGAGATAGGAACCTTAGATTGTAAGCTCCTTGAAGGCAGGGACAGATGTGAATGTGCAATTATGTAAAGCGCTGTGATAATTGTCGCTGCTATATAAATACCTGCAATAAAAAAATAGTAAGTTTAATTAACAATCAGATTCTATTATCACTCAAGGATGCTGGCATTGTAATACCCTTGTGTCTGTCCCTTGCTGAGATCACATTTATTGTTTTACAGCAGGGGTAGCCAGACTCTAGCCCTCCAGCTGTGGTGAAACTACAAATCCCATGATGCCTTGGCCTCCGGGAGCCATATCTGTGGCTGTCAGAATCTTGCAATGCCTCATGGGGATTGTAGTTGCACCACAGCTGGAGGGCCGGAGTTTGGCTACCCATGTTTTACAGTATATTTGTACTGGTGTGTGTGTGTGTGTGTGTGTGTGTGTGTGTGTGTAAAGCAACTGAATGCCATGTGTATGGTGTACAATTTACACCATGCACATGGCATACAGTTCCTTTACTCAGCTCTGTAAGTCTAGAACACAATGAGGAGATCTTACCTTGGGAATGAAATGAAGCCATAAAGTGGTGTCCAGTCAACACCAAATAAATGCTTACATTTCTGGACAGTCAAATGAACAAATAGCACCACCTAGCCTGCATATTACATGTTGGTTTATAATGGCTGATCTGGCATCCTACATCCACTTTACTATGCTTCTGACTGAAGATAAAGCAGGTCAGTGCTGGGATTTCCCTCTAAACCTCCAAAATCAGTGGATGCCTGCCACATTCAGCTTATTTTCTGATACTTGCTGTCTTTCTAATAATCAGGGATATGAGTCACAGTTGTGACAGCAGCTGGAAAACCTATTCACAGGACTGCAGTAAAAGAATTGTTCCTGAGAAACACAGATGTTTACTGAGCAGTGAGCACATTACACCTTAGCACAGTGCATATCGTAAATCCTAACACACTGCTTCTCCTGGATCTCACTTACTATGGGTAATTATAAACCAATCTGTAAATGCTGCAAACACATGGAATGTCAATGATAATAGTACATGTGATATATTAATTCACTTTAATATAGCACTATAGGGGACCTTCAGAGACTATACCAGTTCTTTCCAAGCACAGCCCTTTACAGCCTGTAGAAAGCATCCCAATTAATAGTGGATTGGAAGAAAAAAAGGATTTGCTGAGGATCTGAGCCTCTAGAAATGGCAGATCATTTTCTACTGTCTGGGGAATCTTTATTATCAGACATGATAGAGCGCTCTCTTACATCTGAAAAAATGAAACACACATAGCAATAAAGTGAAAACTAGTACTGGTGGCAACAGAGATATAGAGGGCACTACATTTGTGCACACAAGGGAACCCTCTACAGGTCTGATCAAAGTTCAACAACATTAACGGTGCCCATACACTTTACAACCCTCGCAAGACTTTTGTCTTGCGAGGGTTGTAAAGTAATTTTAAAAAGTACGATCTGCCCATCTTGGACAGGCAGATCGTACTGGCGATCATCGCAAGCCCGCCCCCATGAGGGGCGGGCTTCCGATGACCGCAATGCTGAACGGGCAGTGTGCGCGTGCGCACACCGGCCCGTTCGGCAGTTGTCTCTCGATCATGTTAAAAACCAGCCGAAAATTTTCGGCTGGTTTTCCAACATGCTCGAAATACAAAAGTTGTGCGACCGTACATTAGAAACGCTAACACGCCTTCCATACACTGCACGATTCTCTTATGATTGCGGGATTTCCCGCGATTCTCGTACGATAATCGTGCAGTGTATGGGCACCTTAAGAGATAATCTGATTTACAATTAAGCCAAATTGTCTTCAATTTGAATAGAGTAGGTCGGGGATCAATCCAGGAGTGGGGCCATACTTCAAGTGTTTAAAATGTATTTTGTCTAAATAACTCAAATAAAGCAGATATAGACACCTGATCCTTGGTCAGTGCTCACCTCTCTGCCCCTCCGCTCCTGCTACAAAATGTCCCTCTGCGTCCTCACGTCTAATGCAGATCTATCTAATGCAGCCTGCATAAGACATGATGACGTCAGCAGTCCAGGGGGACTGGCTGGAGTCCAGGGGGAGAGGAGGCTGCAGGGAACGAGCTAGCAGCCAGGAGGGAACCAGAATTAGGTAAGTAAATCTGCTTTTTTTTCAGCCGCTAGACCAAATTGAGCACCTATCCCTTGCAGTGCTTTCGTCAAAGTTAAAATGTAGCCCCACACTCCAGGGATCCCAACCTGAAAGAAGCCATTTCAGGGAGGTGTCCTTCTCATTTCAGGGAGGTGCCCTCTACGCCCCCCCCATCCGCGGAGGGGGGTTAGGGAGGCTGGGAGAGAGCACCCCCCTGAAATGATGGCAGATAGCAAAGAAGCTATTGCTTCCTGTGCTATCTGCAGGTTTTTTTTTCTGATTTTGTTTTTAGTATTCTGATAGTTGCAGTCGTCAGAATATAAAAAAAAGGCATAAGATTGCATAGCTAGATTCCTATTGGCTATTGCACTTTGCAATAGCCAATAGCAAACTAGCTATTGCACCCGCCCTAGAAAAATTCAGGTCCCCCTCTGCTGATCGACAGCAGCAGTGGGCAGGTACATTACCTAGTTTGCTATTGGCTATATAGCCAATAGGAATCTAGCTATGGATTCGTATGCCTTTTTGTTTCTTTTCTGACTGACGGTCGGGCCGCGGCTCCCGACGTCAGAAAAGGAAAACAAAACGATCGCGGGGAAAGGTTTATCTGCTCGATCGAGCAGATAAACCTTTCCGGAAGGAAGTGTTTCTCTCCCGGGCGGCCAGGAGCCGCTATCCAATAGCGGGAGACTCCCGGAGCGTCCGGGAGAGTTGGGATGTCTGCACACTCTCAAACAAAGTCAGATGTCAGAATTTACAATAGCTGCATTTAAAAATACTATGAAATGATAAGTGCACTTTAAAACAAAGCGCACTTATCCCTTTTGCCCCTTTACCCTGTCCTAAGCTAACCCTAAGGCCCCGTTCACATGTAGCGACTTATCGAGCGATTTCCGCCGCGATATCGCGCATTTTTGCCGCACGATATCGCGAGAAGTCGCCGGCTAATGATAGTCAATGGAGCTGTCTTAGCTCCATGTCGCTCGTCGCGGTCGCAAGTCGCTTCTACCAGACCCTTTTTTCGGCGGATTTTGCGCGATTTTGTTTTTTTTCTATGGAGCCCGATGGAGAAGGTCGCGCTACCGTCGCTGGCTCGTCTCTGGAACGTCTCCCCGAAAGTCGCGCTATCCCGGCCGCTGCAAAGGTATGTCGCTACATGTGAACGGGGTCTAAGATGAAAGTAGTCTATGGAGCTGTCATGTGCAGGCATGGCCAGAATGTACATCCAGCCACTTGCTGTGCTGGATATAAACAAATACCGGAGGCCAGGGCCACAAGATCAAGGTGGGTATGCATCTGTGGAGGGGGAGAGTGTGCTAGGCTAGATGAGGGCAAACGGACAAAAGGGATAAGTGCCTTCTTTTAAAGAGCGCTTATCCTGCAACACTTTAATACATTTTTTACATCTGCCCGGAGTTCAGATTTAATATTATTATCATAATAGTTCATATCAGCTGTCAAAGACAAATTCACTTGTCTTGGGCAGATCTTCCATTCTCTTCCGGGTCTCATTCGCACTAAAAAATCACTATACATGTATACCTAAATTAAAAATGTCACAATCTAATGCTCATATTATAGAAGAATGGGGAAGAATTCTTACTATGACACCCAGCGACTCCTATGCAGAGCGTTTTACACACGTCTTTCTTTGAACATTTTTTGCGCGTTTTAAGTTGTGTATTTTTTTTAGCAGATTTTGGCACATTCATGTCAATGAGCAAAACGCACGCAAAGATTCGCAACACACATTTTTCAAGCATTTTCTATTGAGACTATGGTACAAAAGGCACTGAAATCAGTCCCAAAGTAGCTCATGTAGTATTTCGGGCAACAGGCGTATTTCTGCCTGTGACAAAACGCTGACATGTGCACTGGGGTCATAAACATGAATGGGATTCCTAGTGTTGAGCTGTTTGTACCACTGATTTACGAGCGACAAACAGCTTAGGTGTGAAGGGGGCCTTATGTAGGAACACAATAAAAGCAGCAGCAGCCTGTCTTTTTTTTAGAACCTACAAAATACTGTATGTCCCTGTTCTGGAGTTCACACTTCCACCTGCTGGTAAAATATGGTGTTGCAGTTCCACATAATGAAATTCTTTGGAAATGCAGCATATTATTGCATGGGGATAATGTTTAGTACATCGAGTACAGATTCTTATCTGGTTTTGGTTGGTTCTTTAAATTCCTACCTGGAAGACTTCAGGGATGTCCACAGGGACATAAGGATAGGGACTTGGTTGAGCTGTAACCGAATGTCTCCTCATTTCTGAAGTCTTGCTTGACTCACTTGAAACACATAATTGATATGGACTCTGTTCCACCTGGTAAGGCTGCAGTTTGCTGCTAGGTACATATCCACGGGATGCTGTCACAGACAAAAAATAAACAAGAGAATTGATTAAATGAGCTCATCGTGCTTGATAAAAGTAGACTGTATATGCCTGATTATCATATTTTACAATCCCTGCCAAATGTTCTAGTTTGTTCCAATCCCTTTCACTTTTTGGGCCATCTTGGTCGGCATGAAACTGTGAAGAACAATATAAGGTTTTCATGATAGTGGTCCTTAGCATTAACAAAATTTGCTCCAGCTATGAATGAGTAAATAGTGTCAATGTAAAAAAGATAATAATCCTTTGGGATCTTTATAGTCATACTTTCCTGGTTTACTTAATGGGATAAAACGTAGTAGGTATGAATGTGTAAATAGTGTCAATATAAAAAAGATAATAATCCTTTGGGATCTTTATAGTCATACTTTCCTGGTTTACTTAATGGGATAAAACGTAGTAGGTATGAATGTGTAAATAGTGTCAATATAAAAAAGATAATAATCCTTTGGGATCTTTATAGTCATACTTTCCTGGTTTACTTAATGGGATAAAACGTAGTAGGTATGAATGTGTAAATAGTGTCAATATAAAAAAGATAATAATCCTTTGGGATCTTTATAGTCATACCTTTCTGGTTTACCTAATGGGATAAAAGTTTGTAAACATTTGTCTCATCCCCAGATTCACAGCCATGGAAATGAGAAAATACACATCAGAAGTCAGTCCAACTCGTTTGATATGCTGAACACAATTAACTATTAAATTTATTTCCTATTACTTCAATTATTGTTAACACTTAATTGTTGACCAAATACAGCACCTGGTTATTGCAAATTCTACTAATATCCATCAGTTCTACATATTGAATTGTCAGTGTTGCATATACAGTATACGGGCTATGTAACAGATGCCCCTGACGTGTGTTTATGTTTGTATGTGCATATATGTGGGGATGGGGTGGGTGCTTTAATATGTTTTGAGGGTCATTTTTAATAAACGCAAAACGTTTTAAAACTTTTTCTATTTTAATTAAAAAGTGACACTGAGCCTAAATCTTAAAAATGTATTCAAGTACCTTAACTAATAACCAAAATCTTTTTCCTCATGGTCCCTGTATGTGTTGCAGAGTAGCCACAGCTTTAAAGTTAAGCTCCTGAGTTTAGTTTTACTTTAACTTTATTGATATCACATGGGGATGATAAACCCCCTGTGTGATAGCATAGTACAAGTGACAGGTTCTCTTTAAGGGGACATCAGAGGTCTGATAGACCCCTAATGTCACTTTTCACTCCTTTGAAGCTAATTGAGTACAGATTTTGCTCAATTAGCTTTATCCCTGAACACAAAGGCAGGGAAATAAAAGTGCTAAAACCGGAAGAGATCACAGCTGGTTGCTTCCAGGTTCATTCTTCACACAGGGGAGAACAGCATACAGATGCTAGCTCATGTCCCTCCACTCTCCATCCTAATACCCGCCAAACAAGTCTCAGGCACACAGGAGGGACAGGTAATCCCGTGACACATAGTGGGAAGGATTCCTGTTGCAAGAATGACAGGTGTATTTTAATAACTTCTGCTGCTCAGGCTATACAAAACAATGAAACCGCAGATTCTTGCCTCTGGAATTCACATATAGACCTAATCGCAAGTGTGACTGGGGCCTTTGTGTTTGTTCTTAGGGTAAGAAGTAACACTCTATTGAGTTATGATCATTTATCTACTTTGGTCAGTCACTGAGGGTTTTATTCCAGTGTCGTGTGCTAATAACATATATTATTCCAGTGTCGTGAGATTAAATATTTGAGAGAAAGTTTCTATAGGATCTTCCCTCACAGGCTTTTGCCTGGAGAGAATATCACCCTAGAGAAAAGGCTGTCTCTGGGCCGGCAAAATCAGGAACATGGCTGCCTGTCTGGAGTATCTTCAGAAGAATCTGATATGCTGACGAATATCCAGGAAAGCTTGGGATGTTGCTGCTGAATGGGCATTGCATAGGGACCTCATCAGCTCTTTGGCTGTGGCTACCTGTGGCTACTTTACTAAGGTCAGAGGACCAATTCCTTCTGGAGAGCTGCTACTGAAGAAACAAAGGGCACCAATAGAAGTACTTAAATGATCTGACTGGGAGGCAGTTACCAAAGAATCTAGGGCCCACAATTGTTGCTTGTAAAGGTTCCATTTGTGACTGGGAGGCTGCTACTGAAACATTAGGGCCACCATCAACTTTGATATCACTAGGAGGCTGCTACCCAAGAAATTATGGCCACCATCCATTTTTGCTGCTGACATAAGAAGACCTACGATATTTTGCTGTTTTGGGGTATCCTGTTCCCCTAACTCTCACAAGCTTTTGAACAAACAACAAAAAGACAATCATTGGTGTTTCATTGTATTTTCCAGTATGTATTTTCCAAAGGTCCAGTATGGGGTGGGTACCCCACAAGAGTGTGGAAGGAGACCAGCAGTTCATGTGCGGGTAGTGCTACAGTATCTCAACTGTTTTAGCTATTTTATCCATATAAGATAAGCTATTGTCTGTCATGTATTCCTATCATAAAGATTTTTCTGCCCCCTGTTCCATTCTGCCCACCTCTGGGTAAGTATAAATCTGTGGAGGGGAGGGAGGACTCTGAAATGTTTTTATGAAAGTGCACTTATTCTTCAATTATAAAAATACTATTCAGGGCTTCATTGTTGCTTTTTTTTCTAGGGATATAAAAAGTGACCATGCTGACATTGTGGGCACACTGACATTCCTCTCACACATAGCACTTACTCTGACCTTCATTTCTGGCTCACAAATTAGGCTCCAGTGCCAGATCTGCCTGACCTTCTCTGCCTGCTCTTTGTGTCATCTGACAGATATCTGTGAGGGGCAGGTAGCCACAAACAGCGGTATAAAAATACACTTGAAAAGAACTATGTGATAAAAAGGTAAAAATGCCTGCTTATTTTCTTCAAAATTCAAAGGTATACACCATATGTGGCATAAGCCAAGGAAATTATATATGGATCTTTTCCTATCAACTTGAAAATGAAAAATGGAGGTCAGCCAAAATACCGAGAATAATTAGTCTGTAAATATACATTTGAGAGATAGTCACCAGTCAGCAGCTTTTAACAACGAACACAAACATTTAAACCATTGCTCAAGCAGTACTCACAATGTACATATTCTGGGTTTAACAATCCTCAACATTCTTCACTCCATTCTCAAAAGAACAGCATTTACTTTAAAATGGGGTTTACACAGCTCTGCCAAACAGCACAGCTGTGTGTGACAGGAGGAGAAACCTAAGTTCCTCTGCTGCAGTTAAGTAGGTCTCTTCTTTCCGCCAGCCTGTGACTGGACAGTGAAAGGTGGAGTAGCATACTGCTACTTGCATATTTGGATGCATAGAGCTCAACCCTCTGTCACTCTACTTTCTTGTTAGCATATGATCACCGCAGCACAGCTGATTAGGTCCTTGTGCTGCTAATACCTCTCTAAGTATGAGCTCTACTGTATAGTGGCTTGTATAAAGTCAAATTTCTGTATTTATACTATGGCCTCATTCACACTGTGTTAACTCGGGCCGTACACATCCGTGTGGCGTGCAGACCCATATCGGACCATTCCCGGGAGGGACAGGTGCTGCGTGCGATTGCATGCAGCAGCCTGTTCTTCCCTATGGGAGGACGCTGCCGTACGCACACCGGAACCGCACATCCGTGTGGGTCCGGGGGTCCATATTTGGATGCAGACAGGATGGATCCTGTCTGTGTCCAAGCATGGACACCCAGATGTGCAGCGTACCGCCACGTCCTCCCATTGGGAAGAACAGGCTGCTGCGTGCAGTCATACGGCCCAGATACATGCGTGCACGCTGCACAGACATGTATGGGCCCAGTTAATGCAGTGTGAATGAGGCCTACTTGTATTTAAAAAAAGACCTTTAAAGCAGAACTATGAGATGAGTGATTTCCACTCACCTCATAGTTCTAAGCCGACCTGTGACAATGAGACTGTCACAGGTCGGCTCAGTAGATCGGGAGGTGAGGGAACACATACCGGGTTCCCTCACCTCTCGATCCTGTCACGCATCTCTGCCGTGACAGGGGGAGGGGCTGGATTCCCCGCTCTGATATGCCAGCGCTGACTGGCGGAACGGACGGGGGAGGGGGCGGGTACAGCTGGCTCTGCCTCTAGATAGGCAGAGCCAGCTGTCACTCACGCAGCTGGGCGGATCCCGTCATCTACGTCGGGATCCGCTCCAGGTGCGGCGTCTCAGTATACCGCGAGCTGTAGCTCGCGGTATACTGAGCTTAGGGTAACGGGAGGACGCTAGTTTGTGTCCTCCCGTTACCCTAAGGAGAACTATGGGGAAAAACACTGACCCCATAGTTCTCCTTTAAGTATGTGTTACTGAATACCGAGATGCATTAAACTGACACTAAACTCAGGAGTTAAACCTTCTCCAAGCTCACTCCCGTGATAGACATTAATTTCAAATCTATTAAATCCATAACGAGATTGAGCTTGGAGCGGTGGCTACTTTACAACACACACAGGGACCGTGGAGAACAAAAGTAGCCACCCTCCAGAAAGAAAGATAGGGTGAGCAGGAATTCAGAGATTATTTGAGGATCTACAGCAGCGGTTCTTAACCTGTGGGTTGCAACCGAAAACAGGATAGGGAGCTGGGAGCAGAGCAGAGAACGGATGTTCTCTGCTCTACTCTGTGTTAACACTGAGACGGGAATGCTGCACTCGTAGCCTTCCCATCTCAGTTGTCACAGGAGTTCCAACACAATGCTGTGCTAGTAGATAATAAGATGGAGGGAGCATGGAGCTGGCTTTCTTTCCAATCAGGTAGCCAGACAATGGGTACGTATAATTCCTGGTTTCTGTTGGAATTTGTTGCTGGACAGGGCTACACACTCCTGAGGTTTTTCTGATGTTTCATTTTTGTGCTTCATCAGATAAGTTGTTGTGTACCTGAAATAATCATCAATGAAAGTCAGTAGATATCTGTTCCCGCCTGATGTGGGAGTTTTCATTGGTCCGCACACATCACTGTCTATGAGCTCCATCGGTTGGGTATCTTCTGATAAGCCTATCTTTTTTAACGTCTTTTATGACTTCTGGGTTTCGTTGCCCTAGTCGTCTGTGCCATAGATGGATACATTTGTTGTGCGGATTATGAGTGGCTGTCTTGACCTATTCATCTGCGGTGATGAGACTGTATAGGTGTTCATCCAAATTCCCTTTTGCGAGCATTTCCTTATTGTTTCGGATTGTACATTCATCACCTCGGAATTGAACTGTGAGACCGTTATTAGCAAGGGTTGTCACTGATAGAAGGCTTCCTTCTAGGTCTGGAGCATACGGTACATTTTTGAGGAGGATTTCAATAATCCTTGACCTTTACCTTCTGCAGTAATACTTTTCCCCTTTGCTAGTAAAACTTTGTCATTTGCACTGAAATCCATTTATGTGAAGAAGGTCTCATCACTAGTCATGTGACTCGTTGCACCATCAATTCACCATCCACGTGTTATACTGCTCTGAGTCACTTTAAAGGTAGCACTCCATGATGTGCCTGCAGTTTCCTTTGTAGTTGCCTTAGCTCTTTCACTTGTAGGTGCCTCTCACTTTCTCTGCTCGGCTTTCCAGACTGAACAGTCCTTCAGGTGACCAGTCTTTTTACAGCAAAAACATGCTCTGCTTTTTATGTTTTGCTTTGTGCTCTCATGCACCTTAAGCGCTTTCTAGTTTTCTTCATTGTGCATATTTTCTTTCCTTATTTTCCTTTGCTGTATTCTAGTGTTAATTTCTGCTCAGGTCTGGTTTCTAAAGCGTTAATAAGAGCACTGTATGACTCTGAAAGGCTGCATAACAGTAATGCTACCATGTCGTTATCCTTAATTTCCTTTCCAATTGCACGTAGCTGTTCTATGATTTCCAGCTTGGCATTCACATGTTCACACATTCCCTGACCTTTCTCTAGCCTCATCTTATATAGCCTGCGTAGCAGATATAGTTTACTGTTTAGGTTGGAAAGCTCATGCAGTTTCTGCAATGCAGTCCACATACATTTAGGGCGCCTTCACACCAAGCGTGGAGCAGGTGCAGAGCAGAGCAGGTGCAGACCGGATCAAAACTGCGTCCAATGTATTCCTATTGTATTTTTTAGCTCCAGTTCACATCGCAGCGTGCAGATCCAGAGCAGGTAAAAAAATCTGCTCTGGATCTGCAAACACATCGAAAATGCATGCAAATGCCTAGAACGCACTGAAGGCCCATGTTAAACTTAAAAATTGTATTTCTTTTTTTTAGCCAAAAACGCGTCAAAAACGCATCTAAAAGACTAGCGTGCGTGTGCAGAAACCTGACCGGATCTGCTCTGCATTTGGTGTGAACAAGGCCTTAGCTGTATTTTTTTTTCTCATGTGGATGAGCTAGTCATCTCCCACTAGCAGACTTATAATTGCTTTTGTTTGCCTTTTCTTATGGTCCAATTCCCCTGCGGGTCCATTACTGGGTCTGTCTGTATTCAGTACTTACCAGAAGTCAGGGCTCAAAATTTCCACTCGCCCCCTCGCAATTTGCAAGTAAAAATTGCGTGGGGGCGAGTGGAAATGAAGCCATTGAGTCAGACACTCAGTCATGGATCGAGTGCCCAACTCCCGGAGGGATCTCAAATGACTTGCCCGTATGCTGCTGCTCACAGCCGTCTACCTTCCCATATTAAAGATGGCAGCCATCTTTACTAAGGTCTGTTCTTATTTCCTGCTGACAGCGTAACTTCCAGTCTGCGCGCGGAGGATTTTGGGAGCTGTAGTTTCACTTTTACAGAGCCGTGACAGCAGTGGGTGAGTGTGTCACACAGAGGGTAGTCGGTTAGGTTTTATTGCTGCTGTGTGTCCCGTGGTCTGTCCCAGTGTTCTATCATTCCATCTGACCCGTACCTTTAACCCAATCCGATAAAGTCACGGGTCCGATGGAATGATAGAACACCGTAACTGCGCAGACGTCACAATACAGGGGAAGCCCTGGGGTGGACTGGCAGACCACGGGAGGGGCCCCAGCAGCTTGCGGTGCCGCGGGTCCCCTTCATGCAGCCTGAGCTGCAATAACTATGCATGGGACCTAGCTTAATCTCGTGTCAGGCCCCAGCAGGTAATTGAGGGGGACATAGAGATGGGTCAGGGTGCCGTGTGTGTGTTGTGGGTGTATATGTATGTGTGATGCTCTGTGTGTTGTCCTGTGGCTGTATGTGTAATGTCCTCTGCGTTGTACTGTGGCTGTATATGTAATATCCTGTGTGTTGTGCTGTGGCTGTATGTGTAATGTCCTGTGCGTTGTGCTCTGGCTGTATGTGTAATGTCCAGTGGGTTGTGCTGTGGCTGTATGTGTAATGCTCAGTGCATTGTGCTGTGGCTGTATTTGTAATGTTCTGTGCGTTGTGCTGTGGCTGTATGTGTAATGTTCTGTGCGTTGTGCTGTGGCTGTGTGTATAATGTTCTGTGCGTTGTGCTGTGGCTGTATGTGTAATGTTCTGTGCGTTGTGCTGTGACTGTATGTGTAATGTCCTGTGCGTTGTGCTGTGGCTGTATGT